GGCTTTCTGATCTTGAAAATCAATTTCTTCTCCCCCGCTCCTTCCTTTGCCCCTCCTTTCTGTCCTTGTAGATTGCTTTGAGTTGATTGGAAGGGCACCGTGGAGAAGATCAATATAGATGATATAGATCAGGGGTGCTTAAATCTGGCCTGCGGGGCCGGCCTAGAAATATCAAAGGACCGGCCCATGGTGCCTCTGCCGGCCAATACAGACTGCGGTGGGAGCGTCCATTTTCGGTTACCCAGAAGCATTCTGCCGGCCAAAAATGGGCTGCGCAGAGGCACTGCGAGACCATGTCACAGCCCGTTTTCAGCCAGCAGACTAAGTGCCCGATCTGGATAGAAAACAAGCAACATCCTATGTTAATACTACAGTTTAATACCACGTTTTACATACTATAGGTCCATTTAATCTACAATCAACAATCTATAATTGACAGCCATTTCTATTTACTATCTTGGAAATTTACCTCTGCTGTTAGACCTTGTATTATCATGTTATTTATGCCATTGTATTTTTATTATTAGTTGAATAATAAAACTACAATAGTATAAATAGCTTTTCTGCCTGTAAAAGCAATTTACTATTAAACAATGGAGTATAAATTTAGAAATAAAAAGTTTAGTGGAGTATGAAGTAATAAATATTTGCCCGTAATATCTGGTAGAAGAGATAGGGAAATGGTTATGGTAAAGAACTGTAGAAACAAAGAAGAGAAAGAGAAAAAACGCATCTTGAGCCTGTGTCAAATGCCCACCAAGCCCACCTTGACTATGCCCACACCCAGCCACACACACACAAACCTGGTCCTCTAAAGTCAAACACAACCCTGATGCGACCCTCAATGAAATCGAGTTGACACCCCTGATATAGATATAGATAGATGGATATCTAGGAAGAGAGAGAGAGAGATGCTGATGATAGAAGGGTGAATGATAGATGGATGGATGATAAACAGACAGACAGATAGATAGCAATGATAGAGAGAATAAATATAGAAATTATAGAAATATAATTCAAATAAAAATTTAGGATGCTAATGACAGTTTTTTATAACTGTAGCAGTTTTTGCATTTCAGTGAATCACGGAACAAGTACCAAAAGAAGTCTCAAGTGCTTTTAGAGAGCTTGACTAAAACGTAACTAAACAGGGAAAGCCAGCATTGCTCGCTGTTTGCCAACATATACCCCCTTCAACAGCATAAAGACCCATGGAAATAAAATAACTTTAAATAATTAATGGTCTATAAATTACTTGAATCAATAAAAGAATAAATGGCATATATATCACCAGAAGCTTTCAGTTATTTTATATATATATACTAGACATTCTGTGTATACATGTTTATTTTTTCAGTGGTGTTTGATTTTTTGAATAAGGCTTGCTTCATAAGACATATTTATTATATAACTTTCTAAGTGAAGGGGAAGGGGATGTGGTGGCTCAGTGGCTAAGGTGATGAGCTTGTCGATTGAAAGGTCAGCAGTTCAAATCCCTAGTGCCGCGTAATGGGGTGAGCTCCCGTTATTTGTCCCAGCTTCTGCCAACCTAGCAGTTCGAAAGCACGTAAAAAATGCAAGTAGGAAAATAGGGGCCTCCTTTGGAAGGTAACAGCGTTCCGTGCGCCTTTGGCATTTAGTCATGCCGGCCACATGACCACGGAGATGTCTTTGGACAGTGCTGGCTCTTCGGCTTTGAAACGGAAATGAGCACCACCCCCTAGAGTTGGGAACAACTAGCACATATGTGCGAGGGGAACCTTTACCTTTTTAAGTGAAGAGGCAAAGCCTAAAATGAAAAGTATTGATATTAAACAAATGCATGTTGTACTCAGTCATTTGTGGCTTCCCAGGTAAAACTTGTGTTTATACTGTATATATATGAAAGTTCTGAAATGTATATTTATTGACTTATTAGATCTATTTGGAGGCCACAACTTCAAAGACTCTTAATGACTTGAACTCATAAAAATAATAAAGCCAAACCATAAAACTACACAAATAAAGCACTAATCAACATTCACAAATACGGCAAGGCCAATGGTTGGACAGAAAAGATTTATCCTGATGACTTCCATAAATATTAGGGGCGGCAAGGTGGGGCTGCACCTCCCCCAAGGGCCACCTGCCCACCCGCTGGCCAGAAGTGGCATGTCTCCCATCAAGGGCTGGATGTGGGACTGGACCTCGGAAGGCAAGTTAGCTCCCTTCAACGTGGTCGGGCAACCCCAACATGTTTGCTTGACTGCCTTCCATGTGGCCTTTCCGGCGGTTCCATGGCCACCTTGCGAAGGCAGGCAATCGTCCAGGCGGGTGGGGCCGGGGCCAACCAGAGGTTCCCACACACTTGTACCCTCTGCGCAAGCGCAGAGGCTCAAAAAACCAGGTTACTTCCTGGTTAAAACCAGGAAATAATGACTTCTGCATGGGTGGGCAGAGCCTCGAGCTGCCATTGCTACCGGTTCTCCGAACCACCGTCCATCATCGCTACCGGATCAGCCAAACCAGTCCGAAATGGGAACATTTCACCCCTGAAATGAATATAATCAAAGGGCACATTAGGACAGGGACAGTAGGCACGCTGGTGCTCTTATGCACACCCCTTACAGACCTCTTAGGAATGGGGTGAGGTCAATAGTAGCCAGTCTAAGGTTAAAATTTTGGGGGTTTTGGGATGAAACCACAGAGTCAGGTAGTGCATTCTAGGCATTGACCACTCTGTTGCTGAAGTCATATTTTCTGCAGTTGAGTTTGGAGCAGTTCACTGTAAGTTTGTATCTATTGTGTGCTTGTGTATTGTTGTGGTTGAAGCTGAAGTAGTCATTGACAGGTAGAATTTAAAGGTTCTTAAAGCTCCAAAACCCTCCGTAATTTACTGCAAGCTCCTAAACTGAACCAGACAATCTTATTCTTAAAATGGGATGGGCTGCCTATCCTGTAGACTCCCTTTATAAGGTAGTACAGTGTCTAAAAGTGGTTGGCATTGCATTCCTCCCCATTTAAACTCAGCTGAATGACAGAAAGTAGCTTTTTTTTTTGTTCTCTTTTATTATGAACTCGGCACTACTTAAAAGGCTTTTTAATTGTGCTTGCCGTTTGAGCTTTTCATGGTTTTTACAGCTAAAATGAGCTCTTGGGCTGAGCAGAGAAGAAGCCTATCTTCCTTTAAACCTGTTTATTTGCAACTTCATGTATTAGATGAGGAGGGGGTCTTACAAACTCGCTGTTCAACAAAAAGATTGACAACCCTACCCTCCAAAACTGCATTCGGCAAGCAATGATCAGAGAAGCTGAAAGTTCCCTTTGATCAGAATTCACTGGAAAGGCCCTAATCATAGAACCTGGTAGATTTTCAGGTATAATGTAATTCCTAATGAAGAAAAGTTTAGTTTAGTTAAGGGGGGGGGCTTTTGACACGGCTGGGTATTGCAATCGATTTCTTCTCCTTGTAGAGTTAGATGGAGAAAAGGGAGGAGAGGAGAGGAGGTGAACAGGTTTCAATAGTTGCTTCTTTGCCCATCAGGGTTGAAATCTCCTTTTGGGCTCCCCTAACAAGTAAAAGGGATGTGTGGCTCAGTGGCTAAGATGCTAAACTTGTCAATCAGAAGGTCGGCAGTTCAGTGGTTTGAATCCCTAGTGCCGCGTAACGGGGTGCGCTCCCGTTATTTGTCCCAGCTTCTGCCAACCTAGCAGTTCGAAAGCACATTAAAAATGCAAGTAGAAAAATAAGGACCACCTTTGATAAGAAGGTAACAGCGTTCCGTGCGCCTTTGGTGTTTAGTCTATGGACAGCGCTGGCTCTTCAGTTTGAAATGGAGATGAGCACCACCTCCTAGAGTCGGGAATGACAACACATATGTGCGAGGGGAACCTTTACCTTTACCTTTAACAAGTAAAAAAAACAAAACCCACTCCTGTTCCCAAGCTGTGGTTGAATTTCCTGGCACAACGTATTAACGGCTTCTGCTGAAATGAAACCCAAGGTCTTGCAGAACTGAAAAGTGTTTGAAGTCAAGGTTGAAGTGTGTTCAGTTCACTCAGAGAGACGGTTGGAAGCAGTCTTTCTCATAGCACCATCTGGCAGGTACCGGCTTCTCTTTGCCCTTCACAAGAACGGACAGAAGCCTGTGTCTTGTGCCATGTGTGAACAGGTGAATGTGTATTTTTCGAAGAAATGGTAGAAATGAGACAGAAACACATTACTCTTTTGTAAGAAACCCAAGGGATTTATTTATTTTATTTTATTTATTGATTTATTTCATTTATTTGTCGAGTACGTATTAGATAATATATATAAATATAAGCATGAATTGAATACATAAAATGAATACAATTAAAGTTAAAATTTGGGGGGGGGAGGTTGGGATGAAACCACAGAGTCAGATAGTGCATTCCAGGCATTGACCACTCTGTTGCTGAAGTCGTATTTTCTGCAATCGAGTTTGGAGCAGTTTACTTTAAGTTTGCTAATGTTTGCTAATGCTGAAAAATCAGTTCTAGGGAACTGCCCCCACAACTACAGAACGGTGCTAGTAATTATACAACTTTCCCTAACAACTGGCTGTAGCAATTGATAGGATTCCCTTAAGAATTGAAGTTGAAAATGCATACCTGACATATTAACCATGAAAATCAATTGACAGTAATTCTCTCTTCCATCGAAAGAACGCCTGGGTTTTTTAAAGCATTATTATGTTTGGTTGAAGAGGCAGAATCGGCAGAAAAACCATATTGGGGTCAGGATTGGGGAACCTGCAACTCTTCTAATGCTGCTTAACTACACTAGAACAGCTCCATGGATGTGTAGTTCCACAACATCTGGAGAGCCGCAGGATTTTTTTGTCTTTGATTTCAATGCAATCCCTCAATATTAGGCCAGAGGTCAGGTTTAGTTTAGCTGCAGTAGCTTTCACTGAAAATGAATGTGACCTGTCAGTTTTCCTAACTAATAGCTATTTCTCTCTCTCTCTCTTTGTCTCTCTTCCTTCTCTCCTTGGCAGGCCTGTGACGGAGGATTAGACGACATTAGTGGAGTCATGCTTCACACAGCCATATCTTGCTGGCAGCCATTTCTAAGTCTGGCTGTGCTGCTACTTTTCATAGGCTCCACCCTAGGTTGTCCAGCTCGCTGTGAATGCTCAGCACAGAATAAGTCTGTCAGTTGTCACCGGAGGCGCTTGATTGCCATCCCTGAGGGCATCCCCATAGAGACTAAAATCTTGGATCTTAGCAAAAACAGGCTAAAAAGTGTAAATCCGGAGGAGTTCACCGCTTTCCCTTTGCTTGAAGAGATAGATCTGAGCGACAACATCGTGGGCAATGTTGAGCCCGGGGCCTTTAACAGCCTATTTAATTTGCGTTCTTTGCGACTGAAAGGGAATCGTCTGAAGCTGGTCCCTTTAGGGGTCTTCACCGGCTTGTCAAACTTAACAAAGCTGGATATTAGCGAGAACAAGATTGTCATCCTGCTGGATTACATGTTCCAGGATCTGCACAACCTCAAATCCCTTGAGGTTGGGGATAACGATCTGGTTTACATCTCCCACAGGGCTTTTAATGGATTGCTCAGTCTGGAGCACCTCACTCTGGAAAAATGCAACCTAACAGCTGTACCAACAGAGGCCCTTTCCTACCTTCACAACCTCATCAGCCTGCACCTGAGACATCTCAATATCAACCTATTGCCTGCATATGCCTTTAAGAGATTGTTCCACCTGAAAAACCTAGAAATAGATTATTGGCCTATGCTCGACACGATCCCTGCCAACAGTCTTTATGGCCTGAACCTCACTTCTCTCTCTGTTACCAATACCAATTTGTCCACCGTCCCTTATGCTGCTCTGAAGCACCTGGTTTACCTGACCCACCTGAATCTTTCCTACAATCCCATCAGCACAATCGAATCCGGCATGCTTGCAGACGTGTTGCGCCTGCAAGAGTTGCACATAGCGGGGGCCCAGCTGCACGCCATTGAACCTCATGCTTTCCAAGGCCTTCGATTCCTCCGCGTATTAAACGTGTCTCAAAACCTATTGGAAACTCTGGAAGAGAATGTGTTCCATTCCGTCAAATCCCTGGAAGTTCTCTGCATAAGCAACAATCCTCTGGCTTGCGACTGCCGCTTGCTTTGGATCTTACAAAGGCAGCCCATGCTGCAGTTTGGTGGCCGGCAACCCATGTGTGCCGGTCCAGACAGTGTCAAAGAGAGGCCGTTTAAAGACTTCCACAGCACTGCCCTTTCTTTCTACTTCACTTGCAAGAAGCCCAGGATCTATGAAAAGAAGCTGCAGTACTTGGTGGTCGAAGAAGGGCAGACGGTGCAATTCTCGTGTCATGCAGAGGGAGATCCTCAGCCGACCATCGCCTGGTTGACACCGCGACGGAGACTGGTCACCGCAAAATCCAGCGGGAGAGCGACGGTGCTCGGAGATGGTACGCTTGAGATCCGGTTTGCCCAAGATCAAGATAGTGGGATTTATGTTTGTGTGGCCAGCAATGCTGCTGGAAATGACACCTCCTCAGCCACCCTCACCGTCAAGGGGTTTGCCTCAGATCGTTTTCTTTATGCCAACAGGACTCCTATGTACATGACAGATTCCAATGACACCAGTTCCAATGGAACCAATGTGAATACATTTGCTCTGGACCTTAAGACAATACTGGTGTCGACGGCCATGGGCTGTTTCACCTTCCTTGGGGTTGTTTTATTTTGTTTCTTACTACTTTTTGTCTGGAGCCGTGGGAAAGGCAAGCATAAAACCACCATCGACCTCGAGTACGTCCCCCGTAAAAACAATGGCGCAGTGGTGGAAGGGGAGGTTTCAGGACCACGCAGGTTCAATATGAAAATGATTTGATGGTTGTGCTCTAGCATTATTAATTTTGCCCCTTTTCCTTCTTCTGTGGCATTCGAACCAATTCAACACGCTTGGCAAGTAAGGAGGCCAGGCTGGAGGCAGGCTCCGCTTGGCCACCGCCGTGTCAAGCGGTAGATGGAAATCAAAGAGACTATCTCAGATTGTACAGCAGAGCCTCGTGTTTCGAGGCGGAGTGAGTGAGAGGGCTTTTTTCCTTTTTATTTTTTTTGCAGAGTTTGGCATACAGCACTAATTGTTTGCATTGCAAATTTTATGGCGTTCTGGGGATTTCGGTAACAAATGGTCGGCTCCTGGACACTTATGAGAAACATTTTTACCACTACAAAGCAAACAAACAAACAAAAAACCCTACAGTATAGGATTTCATATTTTAAATGTGAGAAAGAAAGAGAGAGAAAGATTTGTTTACAACCTATTCTGCAGTAAAATTTGTATCTATAGCTCATTTGCTAAATCCTTGCATCATTACCTTCTTGCTGGTTCAACACTGCAAAAATTAATGTATTACTGTAATATATACATATATTTGTGTATGTATTACAGTAATACACACACACTATGTATAGTTTAAAGCAATACAGGTGAGAAATTTTGTTCCATCCACAGTGATTGATCCAAGTGTGACATCCCTCTTCCCAAATTTCTAGTCAAATTTCAAAATTGGACTTCTGAAACAATTAGAGACTATCGTGTCTGAGATTTGAATTTAGATCCGAGACATGAAGGAAATAATAACCAAACCAGGAAGAATTTGTGGGATGCTATTGTGGTTATCTTCGTGTAAAGAAAAGGTGCAGGCTTAATTTTAATATAAAATGGATTTTAAAAATATATATGTGGGATCACACTAGAACAGTTCACTGTAAAAAGGTGGAGATCTAACCTTGACTGCTTTTGGAGGCATCAAATCTGGCAGATCACACCTGAAGGACAGACCCTTTAATTTTTATCATGCCCTGCCAAACACATCTTCATCCACCACCATTGCCACATCTTTTCAATTTCTGGTCTATCATTTAGAACTTGTCCTAGGAAAATGAACCAGGACAGTGTATTCTGTCACTTGCTAAAGGAAAAAAAACTTTCAGTGTTGCATTTATGGAGAGCAAATGAAAAAAATGTACAAAAAATTTGGGAGATAGAAATAGGTCCTCCCTGATGCCAAGAAACTAAATTTGGTTCAAGAACAGGAGATCCCACTCACTCCTGTTGGTTTCCTTCAGGCCACATTATTGCCAAACTACAGTGTCAGTTTTGTATTTATTGGTGGTGAAGGCTGAACAACAGAGTCCTCCTGCTGTGTCTTCTTCATGCAAAGATGTTCTGGATACTTGACCCTGTAAGAAAAACAAACCAGAAAGGTACTGTTTCTGTTTTCAATATAGTGAGAAAGGAAAGAATTGAGAGTGGGGAAGCAAGTCTCTTTTGGGTTATGTAAAACACAACCTGATGAATTTTAAGAGCATTTTGCTTTTTTTATTTAGTCCCTTGCAACACATATATGAGAGTCGGGCGCCCAGCATGAATAAGCACCTACTAAGGAAAGTGATGTATGCCTTTGGCATTAAAATTCAAAGCAGAGGTAGGGAAATATTTGCCTGCAAGATATTCAGTGTAACTCCCACAATTCCTTTCAAGGGACACACTAATTGATGGAAGAAGTCCAAAGGCAGAAAGAACAAAGGTGCCCCTCCAATTATACACTCCATTCAATGGAGTGTAATGGGAATATATAATGGGATTGTTTGGGTGTGTGTGTGGAGAAAGAGAGAGAGAGAATTTTTTTTTTTACCAAGGAATAATCATGTCTGCTATTTGATATTGTTGAACATCATGGTTGCCATTGCTGAAAAGAATTGTTGAAGAACATGGCTGCCATTGCTGAAGAGAAGAAACATTCAGGGTAAGCTGGTGGTTCAGAAACTAGACTATGCAGAAGGGGCCGAGTCCTCAGTGCCACTAAACATTCCTTCGGGAAACTGCCATATGTGGTACAGGTTTGTGATATTTTCTCTTCCCTGCCACAGGTTCAAGGGCAATCAAGGAAAGAAAGAAAAAACACTACTGTGTGAACTAACTTTAGAAAGGCAAAGGCTTAATTCCTTGAATTTGTATTAATTATTGTTGGAAAGTCATCACTCTTTAATTGTTCATGTTGCCAATTGCCTACTTAAATTTACTTGCCTTTTCCCCCAATGTGGAAGTCCATACGGGCAGAGATAAATTGGAACCTGGGAATAATATGTACAAGCCTTGTACATATTGTACTACAAGGCAAACTTTCTTGAGCTGTTTATTTTTATTTATGTGTTCTCCCTCTCAAGATAATAAAGAAGCACTATGGGTTAATGCTGGTATGACAAAATGGAGGTGTTGTGTTCTGTTGCTTATTGAACTCCAGCTCCCTGAATTCCTACAGTTTCTATAATGATTTGGAAGTTCTGGGAGTTGTGGTCCCAATAGGCTTATGAGACGTTGGCTAGAGAAGGCTGTTCTCATACATTCATATTTTTCAAGTCTTTATTCCGTCCTTTATTCCAATGTTAAAATATTTAATAATTAAAATAGTATGCTTCTGTGGTGGACAGAACAACACACGAGGAGCAGGTGAGATCTTTAAAAGCTATGAGTAGGATTTAAAACACATCTATAAAAAATATGTATCCAAATGTTAGCTCTGATCTTTCCAGGAATGTAAATAACTTAACATATTGCCTACGGTTGAGATTCTGAAACAATGGCAGTGTGTTTCCACTCAATTTCATATGTGTGGTTTTTTGGTTTTTTTTAAAAAAAATCCATTGGATTTAGAATGTAATAAAATCAAATTATAGGTTGCGCTGTTTGTTTTCAAATCAGTTTAGCAGCATTTGGACAATTGGTTACCTTATCGGTGGAAGACAAATTCAGCAATGCTTGATGTATATTTTCAGATCAGTAAATAGATTTTTGCTATCATGATGGTGTTACATCTGATACATTTACCTTTGCAGAGGTACTGGCACATCTTTCCCAAAAGATTATTAATTATTTTCAGAGATACCCAAAGTGTCCTGTTATTTATTGTAGCATAACTTTTTAAATTATGGTGTGCCATAGGAACAGTTTGAATAGCAGACTTAATAATACAATTAACCCATTTGATATGGCTGTGGTCATTATAAATAAATACTTCAAATCATGCCATTAAACGCATCTGCATATCACCATCTAGTTATTAGAATTGCAGGTTTAGCCCCAGTTGTTAATGTACAGCAGATCACTCTGCAGGGAATGAAGCAGAAAAAGTATAAAACAGTCTCTTGTTTCTCTATCTAAAACAGTGCTTTTTCATACTTGCCAGCTTTAAAAAATGTGAACTCCAACTCCCAGAATTCCCCAGCCAGCACGTTGGCTGAGGAATTCTGGAAGTTGAGGCCCATTCATCTTAAAGTTGCCAAGTTTGAAAAAGATAGATCTAAAAGATTTAGAGCAGCCGAGAAAGAAGTTAGATAAAAATGAATGTGGGCATCTTAAAACCTCTCCACTCAAGTCAAGGTGTATTTCCAAAGACAGCAAATTATTTTGGCACATACAGCAGAAAAAACAGAGAAATATCTCACCTACTGCGTCCAAAGTAACTAACTAACCTTGGCTGCCTGAAACACCTGCCACATTCTGTCTCATAACAGTGCCAGAAATTCAAGTTGCTGGGTGGATGAGCATTTACTGGTCTTTGAGCAGCCTTGGACATTACAAAATTGCAAACTACAGGATAATTATATATCTCACACTTTATATTGCTGTGCTCCTTCTGTGAGGTCCAAAATGGAACATGCATTTCTGAACTCCGGAGCTTAAGGCAATATCAGCATATGCCTACAAAGAAATATACAAGAAGTCGGCAATAAAAGTAGATCCAAAACACTTGAGATGCAGATATTAACATTTCTTAATATTTTTCCCAGAAAAATCTGTAATTGCTTTCAATATTGCTCTAGCAGGGCTTAGCTTTTCAGTGAAGTCCCATTCATAAACAAATGATTGATGGAACAGAAGGTCACGATCCCGGATTACTTCGAAGCCTGATGAGTTTTTTAATAGACTGTATTCATCCCAATATCAATAAAATCAGAAAAGAAAGTAGAGGATTCTGGAAGCTTACTTACTTTTTCTCCTTAGTAGCTATATCTTTCTAGTCTTTATGAAGACTGTGGAATTTCATTAACTCCAAAGCAGATCAGATATGGCTTTCAAGAATGATATGAGTTGTGTAAATCCATTCTACTTTCATGTATATGGGAGAAATAAACAAAAGAGAGAGGAAATAGGATTGAATAGCCCATTGAAGACATTTGCATTGATTTCTTCCTTGAAATTATCATTATCTATTAGCAGCTGAATTATGAATAATTCTTTTTTTTCTTATTTTTTTTAATGACACTTTTTCTATTGCTAACATAATCCTTTTAAGTAGCGGGAGTTTATTTGTGCTGAAATTATTGTTGAAGCAAACTTAATTCCAAATAGCAGATATGTTTTTCTTCACTTTTTAATGGCAAACTCACACAGGTTCATAGACTGTTAGAATTCTGTCAATAATAACCAGTGTTGCATATACGGTCAACAGGTAATTGCTAAACCAAACAAGATGAAGCTTATGTGGCATGAGAATTTCTACTACAATTTAAAACGGATTAAAACATATTACAATGATGGTTGAAATATCAGATATTTCCCTATTTGTTTCCAATTTATTTTCATAAACATCCTTGAGAAATAAGTGGTCCTATTTTCAATCTTTGTTTTTTTTCCCCCTCTTTCCCAAAAATCTATTCCTGTATTATGTATTTTCTGTTGATTCAAGAAATGTTCAGTTTAGTTAAGAAACCACACCCATGTGTTTGTTTTTTAAAGCAAGTTATAAAATACATCTGTGAACAATTGTTTGCTTTATTTTGCAGTACATGTTAATCCAAACGGTTGAGTCTTGTTCTTTGTAAACCAGTCAATGCACCAGAGTTGACCAGTTGAAACAGAGTAAACCTAGGTGATAAGTACACACACATGCATTTGTAGTACAAAAACACACACCTCACACATGCATTTGTAGTACCGTCCACACACAACACCCTGTTCTCTCCCTGACTTCTGCATCAAAACCCAACCAAAAATGACTGCACTCGGTGTTAAGTTTTTCAGTTCACTGAAAATCTCGTTTCAGTGGCAGATTGCAAAAAGAGGAGGGGAAAGGAGGTGAAAAATGGATAAGGGATAAACAACACAGGAGAAAAAGGGAGGCTTTCACCTAGAAATCCTAAAATTTCTGTTTTCTTGTCTTCTTTCTTTTTTCAGAATAAGAGTGCAATTTTTGTTGTTCTTATTAGTAGAGAAAGTTATCAATATCAAACTCTGTTCTAGAAGCCTTGGCGGAAGGACGGAAGGACGAGATTGGCAACGAGGCTAAAAGCCCCCGTTAGCTTTTAACGGAGGCTAAAAGATAATGGGAAGAATCAGGCAAAATTTAGAGGAAGGCAGTGCAGAAAGGGTGGGAAAAATTAGGAGAGAAAGAACGACAAATTAGAAAGGCAATCACAGAAGACCTGAGTTGCAGGCTGCTGGACTAATATAATCCTCCTGAAGGGACACATTTTGTGTTCCTTCAAAGACCCTGACTGATCAGATGATAGCAATAGCACTTAGATTTATATACTGCTTCATAGTGCTTTACAGTCTTCTCTAAGCGGTTTACGGAGTCAGCATATTGCCCCCAACAATCTATGTCCTCATTTTACCAATCTCAGAAGGATGGAAGGCTAAGGTCAACCTTGAGCAGGTCAGGATCGAACTGCTGGCAGTCGCCAGGGTTAACCTGCATTCTAACCACTGGGTTATGACAGCTTTATGATATCATGAACTGGGGGTTTGGAAAATAAGGATTAAGTTAATTGCTGTTGTTTTTTTCTTCCTAGTAACTGCACAGATGGAGTTTCTGCATGATGATCTGTCCCTAATCTGATCCTTCCACTCTTTTAATGGTTCACTCATCCATTACTACTGAGTCTACTTTACTGCTGGTCACCCTCTTCTTTTCTACTCGAAGAAACCTAACCTGTTTTGAGGAAGCCTAATTCATTTTTAGATATGCTTCCTCAAAAAGGGAACATGATTTGGAAGGTCTTTGTAGACAACCCAACTATTTCTTTTCCCTGCCTTATGTTATACATTTTAATGAATTCCCGACACTTCTGAATTGCCTTTACCATTCCCAGATACAAACTTATAGGTAGACGTATCTCACTATAATCACATGTGGATTCACAGTTTCAGTGTGGCCATCTAATACTTTTCTGAACCTGGAGCTTGCAAAATATGTCAATTATTATTTCAACCTAGCAGCCTCCAGGCTGACCGGTAAGCTAAGTGTCTTCTGCCATAGCTCCAATTAGGCTGAGAAAAATTTCCCCAGTTAAAATAAAAATAACTCAGTAACCCACAGGCCCTCACAACTGTCCGTGTATTTGTCTCCATTTATCTGGTGGAGACGTCCTGAGTGGTTGTAACCATGGTGCCATGCCAGCATCGCAAAGACTTCTGAGCAATTGCAGACTTGATGATATTATGCAAAACCTGAATCACAGAAGCCCTTCTAAGCATGTATAGAGCAGTTACAGAAGACCAATTGTAAACAATGTGAGCACAAAAAGCAGGACATCGGATGTTCTGAGAGCATTAAAATAAATAGATATTCATTGTTTGGGTAAATGCAAAGGGAGCAAATGAAATCCATATAGGAAGGTTTCTACTTTTCCAAAGGAAGTTCTCCTGAAAGACAAAAACAGGATTGGAATTTCTCAGAGATGAAAGCTGAGGAATATTGTCCACTCTTAAAGACCATATGCGTCTATAGATTTCCATGTGAAATACCTACCTAAGAGGCTAAGGGTAGAGTTCTGCACACTATTGGCTGCTTGACATATAGTTGGAATAGACAAAATTGTGTAAAGAAAGAGATTCCTTCTCTTTCAGTGCCTACGTGCCCATCCTAGTGGAATTTCTGGAGCCTGTAATTTTGGGGGGAGCAAGCAGTCCCATTCTGTCAGAAGCTGAATGTCAGATTGGGCCTTTAGGCACAAGTAGCTGAATCCGAAGAATACTTTGAAGTTGCGATAGTCGCAACTTGTTCCCTTTTGATGCTCCTCCCCTCACCCCTACCCCTCCCTGGGCTAGCATGAGATCCTCCCTAATTACACATTCATTGTAGCAGGCGTGATTGATTGTACACAGGGTTAAAGACCAGATAAACACTGTTGAGAATGTTCTATCATTACTTTAATGATAGAAGAATTAATTATACGACTGGTTGCTAAAGATGATAAGAGGGAA